CCGAGACCATTCCACCGTCCACCACCGGCATCCATGGCCAGCACTTTTCGTAGAAGATCTCGATAAATACCTGACGGACGGGGACTGGCGGCAGATCAAAGGCATTGTAGAGCTCCAGGACTTTCATGTCGCTCTCGCTTAGCGTGTGCTCGTAGGGCTGCCGTCCGCCGTGCGAGTAGTCGAGCCCGGGAAAGTCATCTCCTAGGACAGCCCGTCGCGACAGGTACGATGAATTGCAGAATTCGTCAACTCTGGGAGACGAGGCCGCCGCGGCCAGGTCGACAGGACTTGGGGCAGCGACACAGTGGCGGATGAACAGAAGCGGTGCCATGGGGGTATCGGCTTGATGCTGTGGCGGTGGCGACGGGGCGGTCAGATTCCAGTCTTGCGGCTGGTGGCTAGTCTCCTGGGAGACAGGACTCGCTGCCGAATTCCGAGTTCGATACACCGTTCTGGCTCTTTTCTCCGGCTGGGGTCGCTGGTGACTGTGGTCTTTCCGCCGCCGCAAACGGGGTCTAAAAAAAGAAAGGTTATACTGTGGTCCATCTGGATGATGATGCTGCCGTGATACTCACTTGCAAGGGGTACCATGTTCGGCACAGTTGGAACACGTGCCAGAAGTCCCGGATATATCGCAACGTACTTGTTGAGGTCAGCGCTGGGCTCGGCCAAGTGTACTCGGTATGAATGACAAGGCTCGAGGTGCCGAGTCCTCCTGCACCTACCTTTTCGAGCATAACAGGCCTCGCACGCGCGAGCATGATGCGGACGAGTAATTATGCTGGACGGATCATAGCTTTTGAATGTGGCCATTGCTGAAGACGGACCCGGTGTCACCGTATACCCATGTTCCGCACCATACAGGCTCTGAGGGAGAAACAGACAAGAGGTTTCAAGAAGAAAAGTCTTAAAGCGACGATGATGGTGATAATCCCAGACCCGGGGACTAAGAAGCCACTAGACCTCATTGGGAAGAGGAGAGAAGTGGGTCGCATCAGCCTCGTGCGGAGTTTATCAACCTCCGACCTCGGCGTTAATACCCATTCAAGCACTTTTCACTCACCCTTTTCTCGCACTAGCAGTATATGAGGCAAGTCTTTGCTGTTACCTATTACCTCTCTGGCGTGAATCTCATTTGCACAAGGGAATACCAACGGGTGGGGAAAAGTAAACTCAAATGTCTCCGCCACACAAACTCTCGCACAGCAGAGTGCAACTCTACAATTTCGATTTAGCTACGCCCTTCTCCTTCTCCTGCTGGACCTGTTTCCACAATTGTCTCGTGCTCACCATCATAGGCCAGAGATGCTGCATGTGGTTCATCTCGCTCTTCCGGGCGCCGTCCAGCAAAGCTTCATACGGGGTCTGGTCGCTTCTCGCCAACGCACTGTCCAGCTCAAACTCGGTGAAGCCGTAAGCATCGATGATTTCCTGCGCGTGCTGATCTGCCACCTCAACAATAATCGCGTCATATGCCAGGCGTAGTGAGGAGCGCTGATCGGATGTCAAAGAGAGTGGAGGACATAGTACTGCATGTGCCGAAGTTACGATGGACAGGGAGAACTAATGAAGAAGAAGTGGTTAGTATCGTATTAAGATGATACTCGGTGGTCTGAGTTGGAACATACCAGCTGGGCCAATGCCGTCATCGGCTTCTTGTAAGTTGCATCGTTCGGGATGTTGTCGACCACTTCCCAGAAGCCCTTCCAGTATATGAAGTCGCCGTGTGCCATTGTCAAAGCGTGGCATGCGTAGCTGGTATCGCGACCCGCATTCGTGTCTTGGATATGCTGCTGCACCAAAGCGACAAGCCGCTGCTCTAGAATAAATCTCTGTGCATCGCGCTCGAGCCACTCTTGAGGTGACTTGATACGCAGTGGCTGTGGCGTTGCGGTATCGCGCAGAAAAGACAGGTATGACAACGAGGGAAGGGATGATTCAGTTCCACTGTCGATTCGTCAGTATAAATTCTCAGAACGGCGAAGATGGGAATGCAATACGCTTTGAAGTGCTTGAGGATAGCCCTTGGTACTTGCTGGGCCACCACATAGTTGTCGCCCTCGTAGGTGACGGAGTTGATAGAGTTGGCGTACATCCGGCCAAATCCTGACAGGGCGCTGTATCCATGGCCGCCGCAGGCGATGCGACAGGTTTCCACGCCGTATCCCGTAATCTCAGTCGAGTAGACCTTGGCACCGACCGTCTGGAGGTGGAGATCTTCCAGCTGAGAGGTGTCGTCAGTCTTCAAGTAATTTGCCGTGTAGTCATCATAGGCACGCTTGATAGCTTGCCCGACTACGACAAGCGCTGTGGCCTTTTAAGAATTGTTAATTAAGTCCATTGATATGCCTTGTTTGATACAAGTCTCACCTTGGCAAGCAGTGGAAGCAATCGGTATCGCACACTCGCATAGTCGAACACGCGGGTTTCAGAGCCATCTTTGCGATTCGAAAATTGCCTTCGGAAAGTGGTGTAGTGGTATGCCACGGCGACGGCTTTCAAGAGGTCCCAGCCTGTGATCTCGGCCATGAGAGCACGCACCGTCACCATTGACCCGTACGAGTGCTTGAGATTCTTTGGCGGGACGTAGGTGCCGTCTCTGAGGACTTGTGCGTTTCTGGCGAGCATCTGAGAGCGTGGGATGCGGACATTGTGGAACCGAAGAGCACCATTATCCGTCCCCAGCATGCCCTGGAACGCTTTGGGACCGAGTTCATAGATCTCACATCCTGGCATGAGCTCTTGGGTATCGAGTTTGCGCAGCTGAACCAGGAATAAATGGTTGCCGTAGTCCTTGCCCTTGATTATCAAGCGTGCTACAACAATACCATGTGTAGCCCACGCCCCAGTAGCACCGATCCAGTACTTGGTGCTACTGATGGTTGGTGAGTTGATCAAGAACTCGTCGGTGTCGGGGTCGAAAGTCGCTGTCGTCTCAATGCCCTTGACGTTTGATCCGTGGCCCAGCTCGGTCTGGCAGTACGAGCCGAAGATCTCGAACCGCTCAGCCTTGGGGATCCAGATCTTCTTTTGTTCGTCCGACATTTGCCGCTCCAGGTTTGACATGAAGACTAGTAACAAAATGTCAAAATCGCATCTTCCACCATCATCACATCTATACAACGGACGGAGAACATACTTCTAAATTGTGGTTGGACAGGGAGCATATTGTCCGTCAGTTTGATGGCTTCCATAAAATGGCGATGAGGCCAGTTCTGTTCAAACTTGAGTCTGATGAGCTCTCGGCTCTGCAACGCCGCCCGAGTCCACGCATCTTTGCGGGCCAACGACGGCAGAGTGACATTCTTCTTGTCGAATATGGGATTGCCAATCAAGGCTTTGAGCAGAGTCTTCCTTCGCTCTAGCTTCTCCTCACCTCCCCAAAGGAATAATGTGAAGTCGGAATCCTTTGGCTGGACTGGGATGTTTCGAGACATGATGAGTGAAGAACATGGGCTTGCCGACGACACGGGACACCATGTCCAAGTCCAGAGGATATGAATATACTGTCGGCGGACGCGTTGTTACTGCCATAGTCTAAGTCATGTCAAGCTCCGGCTAACGGCAAACTACCCACAGTACTCCGGTATCCTGGACGTCCACTTGGACCTAGGTAGGTTGCTGGTTGCTAGTTAGTCCTTGACTTGATCTGCGGGCAGAGTATCGGGAATTCCCTAATACGGTAATCCCCAGCCTCCACCCGACATTTGCCAAATGCGATTGTGTCTGTCATCTTCTCCACACACTAGCACAGGAACGACCTGAGTTGCTCGGTCAATCTGCGGAAAACTCTGGAGAACCCTCAGCGGTATTCAACAAGACGGGACTAAAATAGACCGTCTGGAATATAACAAAAGGACTCTGGACTCTCAGGTGACAACTACCATCGCGGCAGAAGATCGGCAACAAGATGGGCTACCAGTACCTCAGCGTCGAGCGCAAAGGCGACGTCTTCATTATCACGTTGAGAAAACCCCCGCAGAATCGTCTCAACGTTGCTTGCTGTCAGGAGCTCATCCGAGCATATCACTCGATCCAGAAGGAGTTGGGTCAAGATGCCGAAGGCGCGGTGGTGTTGACTGGCAGCGATGCCAAATTCTTCACCACGGTCAGTTGACGATTAGCTGTTCTTCTCCGCTATAAGCAGCTCTAACATTATGTATCGCAGGGACTCGATCTCGACGAGCGAGAAACCAACATGTTTGCTTCATGCGACGGTTTCTATCCTGTGAGTTGGCACAACCCCTCCCCTTCTTGTTTCCTCCCCAGGAGGCACTTTTGGTTCCCTTCTAACGTAGAGAGCCAGCTCCTCGCCACTATCCTTGACTTCCCCTTCCCGACAGTCGCGTGCATAACCGGCCACGTCATGGGCGGTGCCTGTCTTCTCACCCTCGCGCATGACTATCGCGTGATGAACTCGCAGCGCGGGTTCTGGCAAATGCCCCCCGTGATTGCCGGTTTGCACCACGACGGCATGGGGTCGCTGCTGCGGCTGAAACTCGCGCCCAAGGTCGCGAGAAAGGTCCTGCTCGAGGCGCACCGGTATACCGGCAAGGAAGCGCTCGAGGACGGGATCGTGGATGTCATCGCCCCGCCGGATCGGATGCTCGAGGAAGCTGTCAAGATCGCCGAGCAGTGGAAGTCCAAGGCGAAAATGGGGGTTTATGGCTTGTTGAGGAACGAGCTATGGGGTCAGGCTCATTCGGCGTATCGGGCTGTGAGTTACGTCCATCATAAGCAGACGACGAGGGAGCCAAAGGTCAAATTGTAGAGAGGTCCTGGAGTAATGTGCCAATGAGTGGGATTAAAGATTGCGAAGTAGAGAGTCTTGGTGAAATGGTGCTGGTGAATTGTCTCAGATCAGGTTCAAGAAGCCCGATGTCTTCTCCCTGGAACGTCTTATAGAGGTGTCTATACTTGGTATATATAACAAATCTAGGTGACTGGGGATTTTATCCCTCCTTCAGGACCTTGCACCACCCTGACAGCCATGTACGAAATCAAAGCCTGCTCTCCCGCTTCTTAGATACCCATCGTTGCACGTCGGCATGTCCTTCAGGGGGAAACAGTTCCTGGACAAGGACCTTCTTGATAACCTTGCCCGTGGCGTTCTTCTTGAGCTCGTCCACGACACGGAGGAGCGTGGGCATCTTGTACCCAGCCAGCGTCCCTCTCAGATCGCGCCGAAGCTTTTCCAACGTCAGGTCTCGTGGTGCCTTGGGATTCTGGTTAGCTCGCTCAATATACCACACATAGACCCATCGTTACTTACATCTGGCTGGAGGACTAGTGCTGCGGCAACCCGTTGACCAAATTCCTCGTCCTCGACACCGACCACCATGGCCTCGGCGACGTACCCAAGACCCAAGATCTCTCGTTCGATATCCAACGCGGATATCTTGTAGCCACCGCTTTTGATTACTGGAAATCAAGTCAGTGGTGATACGGTGGACTCAATGGGATTTCTTACTGTCGATGGATGCTCGACCCAGGATGAAGTAGTATTTCCCTTCCCGACGGGCAATGTCTCCAGTCTTGAAATAGCCATCAGCATCGAGGGCATTCGCCGTCGCTTCCTTGTCAAACAGGTACCTGCGTAGGTCAGTCATCAGTTGGAAGTGAGTTTGAAGACAAAAGACAGCAGCTTACTTGGAGAACAAGATGGGACTTCGGATGAGCACCTCTCCTTCATCGCCGTTGGAGAGTTTGAGATCAATCCCTGGCGCCTTCTCCCCTACAGAGCCATCTGGCACGCCTTGTGACCGCGGCGTTACTGTGAAGGCATTTCCAAACTCTGTACCACCGTAGCGTGTCAAGATCGCTCGACCGCCTCTCAGTTTCGTCCACTTCTGTTGCAGAGGCCGAGGCAGGGCTGAGGTGCCGCAGAGCAGGGCCCTGATTTCGTTCAAGCCGTTGACGTATTCCTGTAGTTCCTGCGGTGGCAGTTTTGACAGCCGCTGTTCATAATAGGCCATCAGGCGCATATAGATGGTCGGCACTCCCGAAAAGAAGGATAGACCCCCTTGTCGAATTCGTTCCCAGGTCCATTCGACGTTGAACCCACCGCTGCGGAACTCGATGCATCCTCCACTGTACAGGAAAGGAATTAAAGTGACGGTGACACCAGTTGCGTGGTGCACAGGCAGCACATGCAATACCATGTCCCCTTCCTTGATCCCCTGTTGGTCGCTGAAGGATGTAGCCACGTCGTAGAGGAAGCCTCTCCGCTTGACTCCTCCCTTGGGGGGCCCGCTTGTGCCCGACGTGAAGATGACCAGACCGGACTTGTTCAGATCGAAATACGGATCCGACGAAATCTGTATCTGGCTTGGATCCAGGGGCTTCTGCATGACATGCGGCGTGATCTGAATGGCACGGAAACTCTCGTTGTGCTGTTGGCGAACTATCGATTCGAGCTCCCGTGCCAGCGGCACGCTCTTCTGTGCAACCAGGACGGCACAGGCCCTTGATTTGGTGGCATAGTATGTTGCTTCCTTGGGAGGAAGATCAGGGGCTGCATCCGTTTAACACATTGAAAGTGCTGAGGTTCAGAGAAGCCACTTACATATCGGGACAATGACGGCACCCAGCGCCATCAAGGCGAAAAAGCCCACGACGAATTCATAGCCACCAGGCCCGAGAAGGTTGATGAAGACTTCTTCGTCTCTGTCGAGCTTCTGGACAACATGTCGCGGCAGCGTCTGTCTCAACACATTCCGAAGATGGAGGACATCAGTTAGGAGCTGAGTGTAGTCGGCTGTATAGCCGAAAGTAGTGTCCTTGACAGCGACAAGATTGGGCCTATAGCACCAACGCAGCAAGCGGCTGAACAGGAAGAAGTTCGGGAAGACGTTAGGGCCTTGGTGTTTCGGTACCCATTGCGCTCGATCGTCGGGATAGTTGACACGGTCGACAATAACGGCGGCTGAAGGGCCATCCAAGGGCAACTCTGCTAGATCATCTGACCGGATTGACATGATGGCAATCTGCAACAATCTATCTCGTGTTCAACCGGGAGAGAAAAGGAATAGATCAGGAGACAGGCTCGAGCTTTGGTAATATCAACCCGTCAACGAGGGCAATATTTGACTTTCGCTCCTCCTCTTGGCCCCTCAGCCTCGTTTCTGTTCTAGGAGAATTGCGCAAGCTTCCGTCCTCATGAGGGGTCGGATTTATCTTGGAGAGAGCCATTGAGTCGATTTCCTAGAATGGAAATCCCCGTGTCGCAATCGCCGTCGCCACCACGATTGGGGTATTGGGAGGGGACAGGTCGGTTCGCCGGCCACATTCCGTCGCTAGTGTGTCCTCGTTCCTGTATACTCGGTATCTGGGGCCCCGTATGGAGCACACGTGGATACTATGCCTACCGCATTCCCCAGGGGTCTATATGAGAGGGTTTGACCTTTGGACTGTCTGTGGTGTGACTATTGTTCTGTCACCTCCCCCACTTTGCAAGGTACATCGGCCGAAGGAAGCAATATCGTGACAACAATGTTTGGCTGGAAAGAAGCAAAGGCAGCCGCCGAGGCTGAGGGCATCTACATTGGAGGCTGGGGTCTCCGTAACGCCTTCTGGCCAAAGCGTGTTGATGGTCACCATGGTCAGTTCGCCGAACAGTGCAGCGAGACTCTTTGAAGCTGATTACTAACTCTCAACAGCAAGCAGCCAAGATAGGATCGAGCATGTTGCAGCAATCCAGGACTGGAGTGAGGAGGAGGAGCGGAAGCTGGTGAGGAAGCTTGACGCACGAGTCTTGTTTCCTTGCTGCATCATCTACTTCCTGGCATATCTGGACCGGGCCAATATGGGATTCGTCAATGTCCTGCAAGCTGGCAAGTCTAGCAGCTTCGAAGAGACTCTACATCTGAAGGGATCGGACTTCAACTGGGTGGGTATTGCCGCCACAAGCTGAGGGTCTCTAAATACTGATGAAGAGACAGGCCGTATCCGTCACTTACTTCATGGTCACCGTCCTGCTTATCCCGTCCAATCTGTTGATGAAGCGCTTCTCTGGGAAACTATACTTTCCCGTCATCATGGTTCTCTGGGGCGCGATTGTCATGTGCATCGGTGCCGTTCACAGCAGAGCGGGCTTGCTTGCTGCCCGCTTCTTCCTGGGTGTTCCCGAATCCGGCGTCGTGCCCGCCTGCATCATGTACTTTTCCTTCTGGTATAAGCCGCACGAGCGAGCCTGGCGGATTGGTGTCTTCCATGCTGCCAATTCCCTCGCTTCAGGAGTTGGAGGGTTTTTGGCCGTGGGAATCGATCATGTAGGTCTTCGAGATCTGGCCCCCCCTAGAAACACACTGTGCTGACACGAGAAGCTCAACGGAAAAGGTGGGCTGGAGAGTTGGCGATGGCTGTTTATCATCGAGGGAGCCATGCCGTGAGTTCTTGCTCTTCGGTTCACCAAAAATTGTCTTGAGAGCTGGATGCTAACTGTGGTATAGGATTGTCTGTGCCATTCCTGTGCACTTTCTCCTCCTGACCTTCCCCGAGGATTCGAAATCATTGTCTGAGCGAGGTATGGTGTACTGCCTCCGCCCGAGGGTACGGAATATCTTGCTAAACATATCTCAGAACGTTACATTGCCGTCAATCGTTTTGGCCGTGGAGCAACTCGAAAGACAGACGTTACATGGGACTGGCCGGCTTTCTTCAACGTTATGACTCGACCGTCAACATATGTCTTCTTCGTGTCCTATCTTTGCCTGTTGATCGTCGCTGTGGCTCTCGGGACCTTCCTGCCAACTATCTTGAAAGTGGTAAGTTGCTGTTCTTCACCTTTTTTTTTCGAGCCTGTCTCACTAAAGGATCGCAGTTTGCCAAATTCAGCAGCACCAAGGCCAACGAATACACCTCGGCCGTGTACTTTGTGGCTATTGTCGTATATACTTTCTGGAGTTGGCACTCGGACTGGACGCGTGAGCGAATCTGGCATTATATCATCCCGGCAGCCATGGCTATTCCCTGCTTCGCCATCTGGACCCATGTGGCAGCACAGAAGAGTTTCGGTGATATGACGCCGATCCAGCTTTACGGACTGGCGTTCCTCGGCAATATGGTCTCAATCGCACAGCCAGCTGCACTCGCATATCGAACCTCGACATTGTATGGAGCGGCGGAACAAGCCATCGGTGGAGCGACTGCCATTGCATCGTTATCGATCGCAAGTATCATTGGTCCTCAGGTAAGAAGCGATCTCTTTAGAGCGTTTCATACAGGTCACAAAAGCTAATGCTCGCAGATTTTCCCAAGCTCAGACGCCCCTTGGTACTTGCCAGGCTTCGCGGCTGCGTCATCCACTATCGCATTTACCATCATCAGCTTTGCCAGCTTGCCGTTGTGGCTGCTCTGGGAGGCGAAAAGACGCAAGGCGAAAACGGGACATGCCATGCCTCTACGAGCCATGGAGGATGCCGAACACAGTGCCATTTCCGCAGCCAATCTCGCTCGTCTTCATGAACAGAAGGCGTACGAGGAAAAATACGTTATGGATATGGACCATGTACGCCATGTTGAAGAGATCCCCGACAACAAGGTTTAAGAGAGGTCGGACGATGATTTCATAGGCAGCATGATGGACATGGTTCCATCCGGTGAACCCTCGCTATCAGAGCTAGAGGGACAAGCACCGATATGCTTTGCTTATGATATGGACAAGTCGGGCCTGTGTTTCGGTGTCAGGAAGCCAGCCAAGGTGGTCTTGGTCGTGGGTTTGTGACGAGTCAATGATGCGAGGGAGGATCTGTGTGAGAAGGATTTGCGTAGGGACAAGGTACCGGTCGCTCTCGGAGACAATATCCGATATTGGGGAGACATAAGAATTGCTAAGCCTTTTTTTTCGCCTTTCGGAAGGACTCAGGGCGGCGATTTAGACGGCGATTTCATACAACGGCGATTTGGCTGAACTATCCGTAACAGGAATAGTGTCTACTAAAGCAGACTAGCGTCTGTTTACATCAATTATACAGGCAACATTGAGGTCGGCAATAGCAGAATGCAGATTGATGTTCAACAGAAAGCGAGTGCCAGCCAAATTTGGAGGTAGATTCTATCGAAAATTAAGCAAAATCACCGGTGGACGAAATCGCCGGTTCACAGAATCGCCGGTCCAAGTCGCCGCACTTAGAAGTTTGGCGATATCACATGCCGCCACCACTAGATAATTACACCGCTAGAGACAGTATCAAGGGTATGGGTCGCTCAACGGACCTATCCAAAACCTGAAACCGCATCCCGGATACTTGTCCTGCATCACGAGGTCCATGTCGCACTAGCTAACAGGCAACACCCCGAGGATAATGATCCCCCGCTATTATTATAAGGCATTCGGATATTTCCCGTTTCGGACAATTGCCTTGACTTCGACCGTGATCCATGAGCCCTGTTGGAAAAAAATGCCTGGCTAGTCCTTGAATAAACAATAATGCTCCACATCTTGTCACGCACATGGCTCAACGGCAAGTCCTTCAGCAAAACCAATGCTCCAATATCAGGTGAGGCTGGCTGACCAGTGCCGACGAGAGTATCCGTAGATATTACTGTACCATTCATTGCCGACACTACATTAATGCCAGGAAAATTCTTACCATCGTGAAGTCTCATCTCCAAGAAGACTCTCGACACGGTTCGACAGGGTCACCACAGAGTTTCAACTTTTTCTCCTACCCACAAGCAGCAGCCATGAGTGACTTCAGCGCTAATCTCAAGCCTGCGGCGCCCGATGGCGCGACAGTCATTGCGAACGAGCGAAAATGCTCCGGCGTCAACATCCCCCAGCTGTCTGAGCACTTGATGGGGTCGGAGTACTTGGAGCGGCAAAGACGGGTACTGGACATCCTGGGCAGAGACAAGGTCTTTTCCAAGTCCAACCAAGCAAACCTGTCGCGACCGGACCGGTACAAGCTGGGTCTGGCGCGAGGGAAGCGGATGAGACAGCTCCAGGACAAGCACGGGTGGACCGACGACGACTTCCTCATGGCCGAGTACCTCGTCGACGACATCCAGCCGTATCATCTGCACATCTCGCTCTTCACGGCCGCCGTGCGGGAGCAGGCGAGCGACGAGCAGCGCGCGTACTGGATGCCCAAGATCGCCGCGTGGGAGGTCATTGGGGCGTATGCCCAGACGGAACTGGGTCACGGGAGCAACGTGCGCGGCATCGAGACGGAGGCGCGCTGGGATCCCGCCACCAAGGAATTCATCCTCCATAGTCCGACCATCACGGCGAGTAAGTGGTGGAACGGCACGTTGGGTCGAACGGCAAACTATGCCGTGGTCATTGCCCAGCTCATGTTGCCTGAAAATGGGACCTACAAGTCCTACGGCCCGCATGCGTTCCTGGTCCAGATCCGCGACATGAAGACGCATCAACCGCCCAAGAGTATCGTTGTCGGTGATATAGGTCCCAAGTATGGATACGCTTCCATGGACAACGCGTATTGCTTGTTTCATCAGCACCGGTATGAGGATCCTGTCTCTCCTCCCCTTTAATCCTGGCTAATCACGATGAATAGTATCCCCCACAGTGCCATGCTGTCCAGGCATTCTCGCCTCGACCCAGAGACGGGGGTCTATACTAAGCCCAAGAACCCCGCGTCAGTCTATGGCCAGCTCACTCGAGGTCGTTCCGTCATTGTCATGAACGCCCGTCTCGTGCTGGCTCGCGCCGTGACGGTTGCGGTGCGCTATCTGTCCATCCGACGTCAATTCCGCGACCAGGACAACCCAACGCAACCGCTGGAGACGGCTGTCCTCGACTACACGACGGTACAGATTCGCATTCTGCCCCTGCTGGCCACGACGTTTGCCCTGCATTACGCGGGCGCGTATATGCGGCGGCTGTACGAGCGCACGCGCAAGAACGACAAGACAATCGACACGGTCGACCAGGCGACGCTCTCGGAGCTGCATAGCACGTCGGCCGGGCTGAAGAGTCTGGCCACCACGCTCGCGGCGGATGGGATCGAGACTT